TATTTGAGCATAACATTTGATTGTCCACATACTTTTGGCCATATAGTTTATTTTGAAGTAAGCACTGGGGAGGTTTATTAGTATTGTAAGAACAAGTTCCTCCACTATACTGCCCATCCAGCTGCAAGTCTAACTAGGAATGGGAGATGAAAATTGGATTCAGCTGGATGATTTACTGTTTACACAGCTGTTGCATTTCTTGTTCCTGTATAATTATCTGTTGCCCTAGTAGATAAACAAACAAATAAATAAGTATGTCATGATCCTTGGTTGTAGTACACACGGTCTTTGCTATCTAAATCCATGGCATATAATGAAAACACACATGGGCACAGATTCTCTATGCATCCACAACGAACAGAGTATCAGAGCATAGTCTGCATTCTCCTTCTCTCTCTCTCTCTCTGTCTTTTTTCTTGTTTGCCTTTTAGAGAGTCCAGCGGCAGTTCTACCCAGACACCTGAGACTACAGCGCAGACAAATGTGAGAGCAACACAGAGAGAAGGAAAAAGACAAAAAGACAAAATGTGTATATGTGTGTTGTGTGGACCAATTCTCAATGCCATCATTGTGAGGACATTTTATCTGGTCTTCACAACTTCAAATTGGGGTTATAGGAATTTAGTTGTAATGGTTAAAGCTAGGTTAACAGGCTAAGCCACAGCCTTCCTCATGACTATGTAAATCATTGTATTTTAGATGACAGCTTGGTTTAAAGTTAAGGTATGATGAAGGTTAGTGCCAGGGTTAGGGGTAAACAACTAGTATGGTAAGTCTCCATTAAATGACTGTAAGTCAATGTAAAGTCCCCATAAGGAATGATAACAAACGTGTGTGTCTGTGGACTTCTTTGTCTGTATATAAGATACTTTCACTTTTAAAGTTGTGACATCGAACTGTCAGTGAAGCTCAAAAGTGCTGACAGGTAGTGCGCGCACACACACTCTCTCATACTGTTGTAATTGAAAGCTGCCACTTTGAGATTTTCTCCTCCACGGGGATTTTCACTGGTTGGCTACAGCTCTAGGACTTGTCTCTTTTCTTTGATATTGCTCCTTACCTCTTGATTACAGCTCTCTCTGCTACTGTGTGAACACCTCCTCATTCCTGCCTTGTACGTGCATACACACCTGCTAATAAATGACCGTCTCTCACAGTTTTAGCTGTGAAAAACAGCTAACCTCTGCAGATTAATAAAGAAGACACAGTGACTCTTAAAATGAATCTAATTCAGTCTCCCGTTCAGTTCACTCCAGAGTGACAGCAACATTCTAATTGGCCATGGTTATACCCAGATTGTTGTGGCTTGAAAGTGACAGCAGCTCAAGTGATGAGCTCAGGCTTTCCAAAGCATAATTTATGATTGTCACATCATAAGTCTCGGTATTCTCTGATATCTAAATCTTCTCCTTTTCATTTTCATTTTCTCTCTGCTATGACTAAACAATGTAATTCATTCATAATGGATTAAGCCCTAAATTAGGTTAGCGCATATTTAATCATTCATGTGGGCTCACTTGTTTGACTGCCCTGTTGAATCATTAATCAGGAGTTTTGGAGATGCTAATTTGGTCTATGATCCACATGAACATCTGAAGGTTGGATGAACTGATGCCTGTTTTTTTATGTTCACTGTTGTTCTGTACCTAACAGCAAAGAGTTTTCTGTAATAGTGGGAATAATATGCCCAACTAAGCACTTGTGTCCAATCACCCATACATATAAACACACCAAAGGTCATACTGAGATTTTTTTATAACAGCATCTCAGGCTTTTGATATTAAAGCACAAAACAGATGGAGAATACAAGATAAGAAGAGTTTAGATAAAAAAATGTATAGCGCACACATGCATTTTCATATCCCTGTGGAGTTGCTAATAATACACATTATATACCACACTGTGCTGTGCAGCTTATAAAGACTCTGCTCAAGATTCTGAAAAAAAACATAAATCAGAAAAAGCAATCAGAGAGCTGTTGTACTCTGCATACTTTACATGCACATGTTTTTATAACAAATGCATGAGAGATAAGCAAACAACATACAGTTTGAACAAAGTGAGTTTCAGTTGGGTGCATTGTTTCTCACGCTGGGTAGTAAAATGTAGTTCACCACAGTGTGTGTGCTCAGTATGTGTTTGCATTGTGTATGAACAAATTATAAAAGCATCGGTTTTTACCATTTTTAAAGGATAACACTGGCCATTTTCTATATTAATAGTATTTTCAGCAATCTCCATACAGAGACAAAAATTGACATCTACTCATGGTTAATGTCCGTCAGCGGTAAGGCCTGGATTTTCTTGTTCGTCTGTGCGATAGACCTCCATTGTTGTTCAAAAAACATTAAAAATGCATCTGGGAAACACACCAGTGCACTGGGTGACATGTTACTGTATTACAAAACCGACCATAATTTCCTGAATTTAGCATGGGTCAGAGTCATCTGTGCATGTGTAAGATTTTATGCACGCTCTCAGCTTTGTTTACAGTCCGCTAGCTCCTCATGCTTGGGTCTGGGGTTTGCTAATGAAGAAACAGGTCACCCAGTGCAGTGGTGTGTTTCACTGATGTGCTTTTAATCATTTTTGAACAACAATGAAGGTCTATGACCCAGACAAACAAACTGACCCAGGACTGACAGCTGACAGACGTTAGCTGTGAGTAGAGGTTTTAGTCTCTGTATGGAGATTGCAGAAAATACTATTAATATAGAAAATGGCTGGCCATATCCTTTAATTTGATATGTAATATTATTGGGAAAACACAGGCTTTATTCAAAGCAACAGTCATTTCCAACTAAGCATGATAATTTTATTTGTTTAGAAGTTATTTTAATTGCCAAATGTGACAGACTATAGGAAATACTACACAAAAGTGTGACAGACCTCGCCTCACAGAGCAAGTGAATTCACAAAGAAAACATGCTTAAATATATGTTCAAGCCAATCACACTACAAAAATAAAAAAGCTTGTGAAACACTTTTTTTATTTTAATATCTGAGAAGCTCTGAGATTCAAACAAGTTAATTCTTGAAGCATACCTTATGTTAAATCCTGTGCCAATTCATCCGTGCACAAGAGCGTATAAGCCTTGGGGGAAATGCCCTGTATTCTCCTATTATCTAATTCTACTCTGTGGTTTTATTTCAACACTGTGCTGTCCCTGGGTGCTTTGCTCTTTGTTTGCATTGGCAGCCTGGTTATACTGAAGCCTTATCTCACTTCTTCTCTCACCTGTTTACCCAGTGGTGGAGTCACCTTTTCTCTTCAGTCAGCAAAGTCCAGCTTCAGTTGAATGAACTGATGTGATTAGTTTCATAACAACAGCACTGGTAGAATGTAATATGGCATTTTTAAACTTATACAGCTCCAGTCTCTCAAGTGTCGTGTCTTTGGATGTAGTGAGTAGTGACAAGAAAGGCTAAATCATATTTATTGATCAGTGTGTGAGAGAGATTATAACAAAGTCATGGCCAAAGTTGCTCTATAGGCACATAATCACAGTCAATTCCTTTAGGGAGTGGAATCTTTCTTTGAAAGGATGCCAGAGGACTTAAAGTGCTGTAAGGGTCTTACATCTAAACTCCTCTAGCCTCTGCTAACACCACAGAGCTGGAGAACTCATTCTAAAACAGTTGATGCTGAGGACTTTTATCACTGCAAGCTATAATGTTCCACACAATCAAACTACAGATGCCACATTTATATTTGATTTAAATAAACATCAACACAAATGCACCTCTATTGCACTCAGGTTTTGATGCACCTATACGTAAATGTTGTATGCATTTGCCTGGATGCTTTTATGATTTGTTTAATGTAGTGTCCGTTTTGACTGAAAGAAAACAGTTTAGACAACCAATAAACAAACCTCAAAATAAACTTGAGACTTGGATTTGTATTTAATTGTTGTGCCTGTTGGTTTGCGTTATGTAGAGGGTATTACCAGGTAGAATGAAAGTGGTGCACTGATGGCAGACTGAGAAATATTTAATCATTGCAGAAGCACATCAACATTTTCTTTTAGTCTCTGTTATTTTTTACTTTCTTTGCAACAGAATGTCAGGTGTTTTTCTCTTAATATGTGTTTGCACCAGTAAAGCCATTCCCATTGAACTTGGAGATATATTTTTGTTGTAAACTTGACAATCAAAATAGTGAGCTTTGCTTTTAAAATCCTCCATGTACACCTCAAATGGCTCTTCTCAGGAAACCCATCTACACCACTGGGATCAAAAGTAAAACAACCATGTATCTAAAAATAATGACTTGGTAAATCAGAATATTTTTTCAAGACCCCAAACATTGTAACCTGCAACACTTACCAGCACTGGTAGAATTTCAGCATACCATCATACTAGTACAACTTGTGTGGGTGAGAGGCAGTAGCAAAAACGAACCGCTAAATGGCGCCCCTGTGCCTTTCACACCACAGCACTTGTAAGGGTTTGTGGATACTTTCAAATTCATGGACGAGATAATAATCAAAGGTCCAGTGACTAAAGGACTACACCCAGCACAACTAACCTATTGAAAAAATGTATTAATGAGGTCCAGTTTTCTTGCATTTACTCTATCGCCCAAAGCTGAAGAAGTAGCCTACATTTTAATATTCTGTAGGAGATAATCTTGTAGTCAATTCCTACTAACTTTGAACTATAATTTAAATGTGCTTTGTAATGGACGATGTCACAGTTTGTGGAAAAACCATTAACACATCTAACTATGGGGCTGTTATTGGTCATTCAGAATCTGCAATCCGGTTTTTTTTTTTCAGTTCTACCTTTTAACATTACATTATAACATTACATTCAATAGACAACATACTGTATATCTCCTTATATTAATTATTTTGTCTTTTTGATAATTTGTTTCAACAATTGCTTTTCTTTTGCAATAATACAGAAATATGTACAGCATACGATTTTTGTGGCCTTTTTAAGTGAATCGTTATACGCAATGACGTCATTCAAGGATTAAATGTCGAAATCTGACAAATCGAACAAAAACGGAAGTGCAGCGTGAGAAAAAATGTGTTGTGATTGAGGTTAGCGTTAGTTAGCTAGTGTTAACTTGTTTTATGTTTGAACGAAAAAGATAAGACGGTGATTTGTTGAAGGAAGAATTTTCCTTCTGTTCTCTAAAACTCCAAAATAGGTATCGATCCTGGACTAGCCCGTCAATTTCTCTGAAAACTAGAGCAAAGTGTGAGGTATGGTCACTACATAACGTTGAACAAATCGCCAAGCTAATGTTAACTAAACAGCCAATTGTTGGACTATGCTGTTACTGTTTCTTACTTATGTTAACATTCAGTGTAGTCAGTAGTGTTTGGTGAAGTCTGTAACGTTATTCGTGGCTTTTGTGGGTTTGCATTGTCACAATAAAACAACAGCGTAGAAGCATGCTGACTAGCTGCTCAGGTACTAACCCGGTTGGCAAACGAACATGCTAACGTTAGCTAACTTAGTGGTTTTGTTTATCTAGGTACCTTTTCTCCTTAGGACCAGGTACGGTGACTGTGTGGAAATAATGAAGCCGGCATATGCAGTCTGCTGTGTGTACTGCACTTTGTGTGAACTTGTAGTATCAATGATGTATCAGCAGCACTGTAGCTACAGTGCGATATCTGTTTCTGTATTGTTATGAAAACAGTTACATTCTTCTTTATCTGCGTATCGCATGATGGAGAATGTCAGGTTTATATGAAATACTTTGCTTAATAGCTAAGCAAAGTTTGATGAGAGACCATCATCTGTGATTGTTAATTGGGAAAATTAATTTACACATGCGTCTCAGACTAGTGGGCTTTTAATAAATGAATTTCCTTTTGTTTAGACTTGATCAAACTGTTGCTATTTTTATGTATTTTGTCCCCATCAGCCAGGATGGATCCAGCGCTACTGAGGGAGAGGGAACTGTTCAAGAAAAGAGCTCTGTCCACACCAGCTGTAGAGAAGAGACCGGCTGTGTCAGACTCTGGATCACACAAAAAGAAGAAGCCTAAAGTTGACAAAGACAGCTCCTCAGGGTCCAAACATAGTGCTGGTAAGTGAAGCAGATTTTCTAAAAATCAATTATAGAATGTTTCATTGTTAATTTAATCAAATTCTTCAGCAGGTCAATAGTTTAGGGCCTCCTTTATAATATTTTCCACTTCATAATGCGGTTTGGCATTGACTTGCTGAATTAAGCAAGGCCCTTCCTTGAAATAGATGTGTGGATGGCTCCAAAACCTGTATTTTTCAGCATCAATTATACTTTCACAGATGAGCAAGTTACTCATGCACCCCCATGTCATGACAGTTGCTGGCTTGTGAACTATGTGCTGATAACCAGCTTGGTGGTCCCTCTCCTCTTTAGCCTGGAGGGCCAGTCCATGTATTTCAAAGGCAATTTCAAATTTTGAGTCGTTGCAGTATTCCACTTCTTCTCAGTCCATCTTAAATGATTTTGAGCCCAGAGAAGGTGGCTGTGTTTCTGGGGCTTGTTTATATATGGTTGTTCTTTGCATGGTAGAGTTGTAACTTACATTTGTGGATGCAGCGATGAACCGTGTTTGCTGACAGCAGTGACAGGTGTTCCTGAGCCCATACAGGAGTTTCTACCACAGAATCTTGTTTGCTTTTGATGCAGTGTAGCTTGAGGGTCTGAAGATCACGGTCATTCAACTCTGGTTTGTGGCCTTATCCCTTTCTTACAGAGAGTTCTTTGAATTTTTAAATCTTATTGGGTTATGCACTGTAGTTGATAAAAAAAAATTTCATTCTTAGCAATTTTACGTTGAGAAAAAATTTCTTAATTTGTTGAACTATTTGCCACACACAGCGATGAACCTTCTGAAAGACTAGCCTCTCTGGGATGCTGTTTTTATACCCAATCATGATACTGACCTGTTGCCAATCACCTATGTGGCTGTGAGTTGTTCCAGCATGTGTTTGTGTGTGTAATTTTTAACATTGGAGTCTTTTGTTGCCCCTGTCCTAAGATTTATGGACTGTGTTGTTGGCCTCAAATTCAGAATGAGCTGAGGTTTTCGGTAAGCCGACTAATCCAGCATGTCAGAATTGGATTTTGAGCAGTAGCCTCTTGTTGCTTGTCATCTCCTCTAAGTTTGAAACTTTAAAAACAGATTACTCATGATAATTATAGCCTAGTAAGTAAACTTCTTATTTTAGCAGAAAAACAGGCACATAATTCGGTGACAGTTTATTAAGCATGTTTTGAGGTAAGGCATATGAAATCGTACATTGTGCTCAATATGACATGATAAATTTACATCACTGTTCAGCAACCGAGTGTCACTTATCATTAAATAATACTACAATACGAAACATGTTGACAGCACTGGTCCACAATTTACTAAAAGAATAGACAAACACAGGCTTTATTCAAAGCAACAGTGATTTCCAACTATGCTTGATAAATGTATTTGCTATTTACTAGTCTGTTTTGGGAAACAAAGATGTTCAAGTCCTTGGACTGGGACATCAGTTTCTGTCTGTGTACAACATTTTACCATGAAAGAAGCTCATTTGCATCCAGCAGGTGATAAGTATACACCTCACAGGGCAGGTGTTTTCGAACAAGGAAACTTTTTGTTTCAGTTTGCAGGTATTGGGTCTGAGTATTTTTATGTGTCATGTCTTGGACATACACCTTCAAGAGGCCCACCTTAATGTAACCTATTCTGCCAAAGCCTTTTTTCTTCATTCTTGAAAATTGCATTTTTTTCAGGCCACCCTAATAATAGTATTTTTGCTTGCGTGCTGTCTTTCATCTGGTGGTGTTTCTGGTGCAAAACCTGGTTTTCCAGGTCTGCTCTGCATGGTAAGTGGTAGTGAATGTAGCTGTGTGTCGATGTCCTCCTAAATGAAATGAAAAGCTATTTGAAATCATTCCAAATCAGTGAAAACTGCCCTCTTCCCTTTTTACGTTGTCCTCCTTCGCATCCTCTTAACTGTGACCAGTTGAACCACTGTTAGGCAGTTTTTGAAGTTCACTGTAATATTTTGCAGTTCAGCAATGAAAACCAAACTCCTGCTCTTCCTTTTCTTCATCATTGCTGCCTCTATACCACCTCCGTGTGGGATTCTTGCTCCTTACAAATGCTGGTCATGAGCTTGCTGCAGCTTCCTGGCCCCTCCTCTTGTAGCTGGCGATTTGTTTTTTCTTTGGCACAGCACCCACAATCCAGTAGCTCATACAGCATAGCCAAGGCAGCCAGAGACAGGACAGTGAGGATGAAGAGCAGAAGGATGATGAAGCAGGCCACATTCCAGCCATCGTGGAAGGGGTAGACCTCCTGGACCTGCAAGGAGACGCTGGAGAGAGGGACCACTTCTGGTTGATTACTCGGGTGTATAGTGGTCGTGATGTTGGCCATGATTTCTGGTTGGAATTGACAAAAACAGGGAGAAGGGAAAGTGGTTAATGCCAGTGGTTCTGGGTTTCAATGCAAGGTGGTGACAGCATTAGGGAGAAAAGATTAGAAGGTGATGGCTGTAAAATACTTGTTTCCATGGTGAAAGAATATTTAGGATGGTCTTATTTGTCTTACTTTTGAATGTGAATATAATAATTTCTAACCTGATATACTGGGCTTCTCCAACTTCTCCCAGAAAATTGTTGCAATCACAAATTCTTTGGTATTCTCATGTTAATTTCTCTTGTTTGCATTGGAACAACACAAAAAATGCAGAGAAAAAGCCAAATCTGGTACACTCCACACAGAACTCCAGAAAATGGACTGGACAGAATTATTGACACCCTTTCAAAATCATCAGAAATAGTTGTAGTCCAAGCATGTGAGGCTTCTTTAATTTATAATGGCACACGCCTGTAGCAACCAACAGGTGCTGGCAATTTAGAAATCACACTTGCAACCAGTTAAAATGGAGAAAAGTTGACTCAACCTTTGTGTTGTGGACCACACTGAGCATGGAGAAAATAAAGAGGAGCAAAGAATTGTCTGAGGATTTGAGAACCACAATAGTGGAAAAGCCTGGACAATTGCAGACTGGAGTTTGCCAAAGCTTACCAGAAAGAGCCACAATCCTTCTGGGAGAATGTCCTGTGGACAGAGAAGACTAAAATAGAGCTTTTTGGTCAAGCACATCATTCTACTGTTTTCAGAAAATGAAATGGACATGGTCCCTACAGTTAAACATGGTGGAGGTTTGCTGATGCATTAGGGTTACTTTGCTGCTTTAGGGATTTCTGAGAGAAGTGGTTCCTTATCTGACAGAAATGCAGGGGGGGGCTAATATTTTTGGCTGTGACTGTATATCGTGTGGTGTGTATACAGCAGCGACTTCATATTTTTTGTAAATAAGACAGCCTAACAAAATGTAAATCAGTATATGTGGCTGTTATTTACATAATCAAACCAGTGCTAGAAAAGAGGAATAAAGTGCAAGTATTCTGTCATACATTGTTGTCATTGAAGTTCTAACTGTATTGTGATTGAATTGAATCATACACACCATATTGTGCATCAAATCATATAAAGAAAAAGTCATGTCATCCCACCCTATAAAGATTAAAAACTGATCAAAGAGTAGAATTGTTTCTATAGATCATCTACACAGCCGAGGTCCTCTCTGAAAAGGACAGTGTGTCAGTAGGGACCACAAACAGAATGAGGAAAGCCGTTTCCTCTCCTGAAACCATCAGGGCTTCTGTCAGGTAACTTGCAGTAATGTGATACCAGTAGTACTTCATACACCATCGGTCATAGTGGCTATCATGTTGTAAAAAGGTAAAATAGCAGTGCAAGTCTATAGAAATGAGAGGACAGTGTGTTTTTGGAGCAAAAGGTCATATTGCAAATGAGGACGACCCCTACAGAGGCCATCTGCTCAGAACAAAAGCCTGGTGCAGAGTGAAATGTGGCATCTATGTTTGGTTTGCAGCTCTCCAGCCAGAACATCTGTCCAAAATATTGCAGTTGCGGATTTTCTATCTACTAATGAAGTTAAAAGATGTTCTACAGTGTGTACTTTATCAGGCCATCTGTCTCTCTCCCTCTGTCCTTTCACATTTTCAGCCAGCGCCTACCATTTTAAGTCCTCAGGGAACAGCATGCCAGTATCTCTGCCCACACACATACGTGTGCACACATACACACGTGCTCTAAACACACGCCTGTATGTGCGCACACACACACACACACAAAACCTTGTTTTTTACATCACACACTGAGACTAAGGCAGCTGACCCAGTTACTTGAGTGACCGCGGAAATGACTTGTTCAACAAGAGCACAAATGCTTCCTTCTACACTCGACTAATCTTGTGAGGTTACATTTTTTTTTGTTTCTTCTAAGATCTTCCAAATTCAACTGAGCTTACTGTGTAAAAACAAATGCTCTCAGGTGGCATTTGGTATGACCTGTATGTGTGAGAGTGTATTTTAGTGCCCTTGCAGGGAGAGGTGAACCCTCCTTGTCATGGTGATTTGGTTTTCTTTATTACCTGATACTGTTACATGATAGAACCCTTCACTGTTGTGGCTTCAGTTACCTCGAAGTCTTCAAACATTTCTGTCCTCAGCGTGCCTAAGTTAGTCTTCCACTGGAGCCCAAATGCAGGACAATACTGAATGATATATCTGCACTAATGTGGGAAAAGGCAACTACTGCTTACAGCTTTGTGTGTGGTTTATTGTTTATTGTATTTTTGTTGTTTGAATTTGCTTAGGATAGAGTTCAGGTGTCCTTGCATTTCAAAATATTACTGACAATGCTGTCCTGAAAATGCATGCAACCAGGTCCATCAGAGATTGTTTTTATTGTGGGTGGTTAATTGGATAGTGTGAGCGGACTGAAGCATGTCTGTTTACAGCATGTGGGAAGTGGTATTTCTTCCCAGTTGACAACTTTACCCTGTTTCCTCTTTAGCATCCTTTTATAAATCCAGCTCATATCAACTTCACTTCAACTCATCACCATGACAACATCCTCTTTTTGCTAGTTAGTCATTCCTGATTGGTATTCCCCACCCCAGTGCCTCCCATGGTCTCTTTGCTCCACCTTTCTTTTGTCAGGGGAGTTTCACCAATGAGGACAGATCGGCTCCCTGCAGCATCTGTTATCTCACCCTAAATGAGCCCCATCCCAGCCAAGCTTCTAGTGCTGTAGGGCGAGACATCGCTTTCTGGCTAGGCTACACAGCAGATGTCTCTCACCAGATCCACTTATACACTCATAATGCCCCTGGCTGCCTCCTCACGGCTGTCAGTCCCTCATTGATTTGTCTTGAGAGCTGCAGTTTGAGACATGCATGTCCGCAAACACTAATGTGGTGCACACAGTTTCTCATGCTTGGCAATCAAGCGGTAAGTGCACAGACAGACAGCCAGACAGACAGAGAGACCCATGTTTATTTAATCCAGTGTGGGTTGGTTCATTCTTGGCTGTAATATTAAAACTGCCAACTAAAGAACTCAGTTGTTATTGTGTAGATTACAGTTTTGATATGTTGTTGCTAGATGTGGTGCAATTTTAGATGTCTAGTGCAGAAGGCATTGGATTTGTAATTAGATCTGCTGCATTTAAAGATGTATGATTTACCTTGTGAATGCTGGATTACACACAGTGAGACTAGGAGCAGCCAACAGCCTGTATGTTAAAATCATGCTGTGGATTGTTATGATGCATTGCTCTCAAACATGCATACATTATTCTGAAAAATGCGCAGACTCACCTGTGTGTCTGGCTTAGTCTTTAGAAGATGCAAGTCAACAGACGCACTCTCCTCTTCTCACTGCTCCACCTATTGCTCCGTCTTCCACTCTCTCCCTCCTCCGCGTTCACTCCGCGGCCCAGTTTTCCTCCACCCTCACGCATCACCAGCCATTGCTCGCGCACTCGCTCGCTCCCTCCGTCACTCCTTGCAGCTCTTCATGTTTCAGCTGAACAGCAGAGGCGTCTCTCCACCATTGGTTCTTTTCTTTTAGCCCTGCCTCTGCACCATTCGTTAACCGGCCTGTCACAGTCTCAGCGTCCTTCCCACAGTGCAGCTCACTGCAAATGAAGCTCCTGCCCACACCATAAAACATTCATAAATCAGTCTTTGTTTCGCCTTTGATTGGTGAGTGCTGAGTCCAGACCTCAGTCCTCAGGGGGGATCTGGACTCAAACAGAGAATAGGACCAGCTGGCCTGACTCCATATTACACTTAGCAGATTAGACTGGTGGTGTTGTACATTTTTCTTATTGTCATCAATTCCCTAGAAAAGACCAAAACTCACAATAAAATGCTCCAACTAGCATAAGTTTTGGCAAAGGCTGGCTTATTGCTTACAGTCCCTATAAAAAGTATTCACCCCCTTGGATGTTTCACCCTTTTATTGATTTTATAAATATATAATTTGGCTTTTTTAACAAAACAATTACAAAAAACTCTAATGTCAAAGTGAAAACAAGTTTCTACAAAGTAATGTCAATTAAATAAAAATATGTAATGTGAAATAAGTAATGAGAAATAGCACTGTATATCTTAGTCCTCTGTACCACTGAGCTCCAGTGTTGACCAGACTGTGAGCCACACTGTTGCACTGGGTGACATACAATATTCTGTTGCTATAAATACACACTAGCGCACCACATAAAATGTGTATATTTGTGCGGGATACTTGTACAAAATTGCAGTAGCTTTTGTAAATATACTGACCTCAACGTTTTGTACTCGTTTTAGATTAATGCTTAAGAGCTCAGAGATAAACTAACACTTTTTTTTTTTTTGTAAATTGTTGAATTAGAAAATGTAGAATAGTGACTGCTATTAAAATTATAAACTGATTACAGTGTTTGTGGTCTATTCAAAATTGTGGCAAATTTTATACAAGCTGAGTTATGACAGTTAACTATTTTGACTAAACTATTCTTTCTTTTTGTTTTGTTTCTTCACAGAGTCCAGTAATGGGAACTTTAACATCAAGGCGAGCTCCGGGTACAAATTTGGCTGCCTTGCCAAGATAGTCAATTATATGAAGGTACGCCTTGGGAGACATCTTTCTCTAGTAATTTAGTGGTGTTTGCATTAATCTTTGCATGAACAGCGTCAACCTACTTGTTAGATTTTTAAGTCTGTCATCTCCACTGGAGCTCTTCTAAAAGCTTGACTTGTCTATTGTGTTAGCTGAGGGAGTCCATTGTATCCACTGTGCAATATTTGCTCCACAGTCCTTCTTTTGGTATGTAAACAGCTTGTTTATCATGCTGTGGCTTGGCAGAGAGGCAACCAGGCCCTGTCACACTAGCTGTCTGACTCATCCCTCGCTGCAGAACTCGCAGTCAAGTTGACAGATTTTCTTTGAATGTGTGCATTTTTTTTTGTACCATCTGTTGAAAACACAGACTTTTAAACTGTGTTAAATACCCCGACAGTTGGATGCGAGGCACTAAATCACTGTGGACATTTAACTAAAACCCTGTCAAAAGATTGCTTACATTTTAACATAGGTGCTGAGAAAGATATTATACTACTGTTGTCTCTGTATTTGTGCTTTCTTTACATCAGTCTATGTGCTTTTCTGTCTTTAACTCTCAGACAAGGCATCAGAATGGTGACACACACTTTCTGACCTTAGAAGAGATTCTGGATGAGACCAAACTTCTTGACATCAGTATGAAACAGAAACAGTGGCTCATGACTGAGGTGTGTTCCTGTGTTGTGTTTTTTTTTCGACGCCCTACTTCCTATCATTTATCATAGGTAGTGCATGTCTTTATCCAACATAATCTCATTGACCTCTTTCAGTACACACAATATGTTTTTCCCCTTCACAGTCATTTGTAGGCTGATGTGTGACACTTGCAACAATTCTATAACAGCATCCTATATGTTGCCATTGAGTAGTGGCTGATGATGTCAACACATTGTACAACATTGAATATCTTCTTGAAGATATTTTTCATGGTACAAAAACCGTATGACCTGGAGAAAAGGATGGAGCTACGAAAATCAGCATAAAGAGTGCATCCACGACAATTCAATTAATACTTACACATACTCTCAAGTGGCTAGAGACTTTAAACTTGAAATATTCTACTGTACTGTACATCTCCACAGGCCTTGGTGAACAACCCAAAAATTGAGGTCAGGGATGGGACATACGGTTTCAAGCCCAAGTATAACCTGAAGGACAAGAAGGCCTTACTGAGGCTGCTGGACAAACACGACCAGCTAGGCCTGGGAGGAGTGCTGCTGGACGACGTAGAGGAGGGGCTACCGAACTCAGCTAAGGCAATTAAGGTAATACAATAAATACGATGCTATGACTTGTTTAGCATCCATGTATAATGAGTAAACACTGTGGTGACTAAACTATAAGGACATATGGACAGAGAAATGAGCTTTCATGCGATCATTCGCAGGCTTTGGGGGATCAGATCATTTTTGTGACAAGACCAGACAAAAAAAAGATCCTATTCTACAATGACAAGCACTGCCAGTTTGTGGTAGATGAAGGTGAGAATTCATCAGCTTTTTGTCTGTCAGTTGTGAGATAGCTTTCTCTCCCTCTGTGTCTGTCTCTGTCTTGACTGTCTTTCTGTCTGTTACTGGTTCTCTGTGCAGCTGTAGGTTGGAATAATCAATAGAGAGAAATACAGTCTTATGCAAAAGTTTAGGCACCCCTTGATAAATAACAGATTTTGGTGATTTTTTATTTGAACAGATGTTAACACAGTTTCTCTTGGAAATGGAAAAAATGCACAATATTTTCTGCAAACAGTGATGCATAGTTACTTCTTATGCCATAAATTGAACAAAAATAAAAAATAAAAACATTATTATGGCATGGTGCAAAAGTTTGGGCACCCTAAGAGTTCCAGAGTCTCAAAGTCTCTCACAAGGTATCAGACCTTAATCAGCTCGTTAGATCTGATGCACAGCAACAGCTGTCATTGGTAAATGCCAATTTCAAAGCTGTACAAATACTTTGACTCTTCAAACCTTGTGCACACACTTGTGGACACCCAGCAACCATGGGTTCCTCTAAGCAGCTGTGTAAGACCCTGAAAATGAAAGTTATTGATGCCCACAATGCAGGAGAAGGCTACAAGAAGATAGCAAAGCGTTGTCAGCTTGCAGTTTCCACAGTAAGAAATGTAATTAAGAGATGGCAGATCAGGGGAACTGTGGAGGTCAAGATGAGATCTGGAAGACCAAGAAAACTCTCGGACAGAACTGCTCGTATGCTGGTCAGAAAGACAAATCAAAACCCCCATTTGACTGCAAAAAACCTGCAGGAAGATTTAGCAGACTCAGGAGTGGTGGTGCACCGTTCCACTGTGCAGCGATGCTTGCACAGACAAGGCCTTCATGGAAGAGTCAGCAGAAGAAAACCTTATCTGCGTCCCCATCATAAAATCCAACGTCTGAAGTATGCAACAGGACATCTACAGAAGCCCGATGCGTTTTGGAAACAAGTGCTGTGGACTGATGAAGTTAAAATAGAACTCTTTGGACACAATCAGCAAAGGCATGTTTGGAGAAAAAAAGGAGCAGCATTTCATGAAAAGAACACCTTGCCAACTATTAAGCATGGGGGTGGATCTATCATGCTCTGGGGTTGTGTTGCAGCCAGTGGCACAGGAAACATTGCACGGGTGGAGGGAAGAATGGATTCCACTAAATACCAGCAAATTCTGGAAGCAAACATCACACCATCTGTAAAAAAGCTGAAGCTGAAAAGAGGATGGCTTCTACAACAGGACAATGATCCTAAACATACCTCGAAATCCACTATGGAATACCTCAAGAGACGCAGGCTGAAGGTTTTGGAATGGCCATCACAGTCCCCTGATTTAAACATCATTGAAAATTTGTGGGTAGATCTTAAAAGAGCTGTGCATGCAAGACGACCAAAGAATATTACAGAACTAGAAGCCTTTTGCAAGGAAGAATGGGAGAAGATCCCAAGTACAAGAATTGAAAGACTTTTAGCTGGCTATGAAAAGCGTTTGCCAATTTTTGGCTCTTTCATTCTCTAACAAAAGGTGTAGTTGAGATTTGTCTTTCTCTTTTGGCCTTTGTTCATTTTGCGTTATTGTAATTAACACAGAGATTGGGAGAGATACTTCATTATGCATTTTTCCACATTAAAATAAACACATCTATAAGGATTGGGTTTCCCCCTCTGATTTCACTCATTTTCATTTAATTTGCTCACTGTTATATGTACTTCCACTTGGACATTAACAGCAGTATCATGAAAGTATAGAAGTAAATCACAAGAGGTCATCATGAAAATGGTACTGCATTTAACATAAAAAGAGATGTGATAATTCAGTCATCATGTCAGTTGCACCTCAGTTTAACCTGTGCTGTTTAATGCAATAGATCAGTCAGTTTTAATTAAAGCATTTATTTCTTAGCAGATGCCATCATACATCTATATAACTGAACACATTTTTATGCCCCCGCACCAGCAATGTTTTCAGGTTGTCCATCTGTCTGTACAGTTCTTGTGAAGACAATATGTTAGGAACACCCTGAGGGAATTTCTTCAAATTTGACACAAGTGTCCATTTGGTCTCGAGGATGAAATGGTTAGATTTGGTCATTATAGGTCACCCTGACCTCTCTTCTGTCCCATACCTTGTAAATTTGACAGGTTGGCAGAGGCATGTAATCGCAAAGCGGTAATTCTAGTTGATATTAACTATCATCCAGGTCTACACTTAGTTTGGTTTGTTGTTTCATACATTTATTTAACATCTTGAACTAATTGTGTCCAGATACATCTTCCTTAAAAAAAAAATCTAAATTGTAGAATTTCAGAAGCTGTGGAGGAGTGTTCCAGTTGATTCCATAGATGAAGAGAAGATTGAGGAGTACCTAAAGAAACAAGGCATCTCCTCTATGCAAGAAACGGGACCAAAGAAAGTGGTCAGTGTTTGCTGGTCTCCCATCTGCTTGAATTTCATTCCAACTTCACAGATTTAAATACTCTTATATTGACTAAAAACAAAAGGCTTTAACGTTTTAGCTCAGAATACTGACACTTATACTAAGTTAACCAAGCATTATAATCAGTGGTGATTGTGTTTCTGTACTCCATGCAGTTACCAGTTCAAAAGAGGAAGAAGCAAGGTGGGCAGAGGAAGAGACACTTCAAGACCCACAACAACCATTTGGCAGGAGTGCTGGAGGACTATTCGGATGGTGTTCCTGCGAAGAAGTGAAGTCCCTTCTCTCACTGCTACGTGCCCTGTAGAATCAGTGTGGTTGTAGTTGGAGGCTCTGGCCACACTACAGTACAAAGGCGCTTTATGACTGCCTGTTGTGTCAAACAAACTAGCTTCTTTTCCTTCCTTTGCACTCGTCTCGGTGACCAGTGGTCTTGTGTTACATGGAGTGAATAGCACCTGTGTTGTGGAATTATTTTCAGTTTTGTTGATCAGTGATAACTGAAGGACAAAGGGGAAAAGAGTGCAGAGACCATTAAGAACACCAAATGCCCTTACCAAAAAAATACCATCCTTAAAGGGAGCACTGCAACCTTACTGTTAGATTATAAATGAGGTTCAGGTGTGTAAATATTTTATTCAGAGTACCACAGAGAGGTGTGTGTTGAAGGTTTTGAGACGGCAGCTGTCCTCACCTAATGGAAACCTTTAATCCTTTTAGTAGGAATTGCAAAAGACACTTTTGTGTTGTGCAGTGCATCACACTGAGGTCTCTCATACAGCATAAAACGTCTTGGATGTTACTTCTTGTGGAGTTTCAGAATATTGAAATTCTTTCATGTTTCAGCTACATAGTGGTTTGGAACCTATTTTAATAAGTTACACAATACTGCCTAGTTTTACATACAGTTCAGTGACGGTGATTGTTACATCAATTAATTACCCATTTAATTCCCAACACAGTATTACAGTGTTATATATAAAAATCTAATTGAGAATCACTGAAAATACTTTGATTTAGTATTGGTACTTATCCCATTTTTATTTTGTGAATATACAATGAATACATTCCCATGTATTCTTTCTGTACTACTTAAAAAAAACTGTTTCATAAAGTACCAGTAAATGCTGTGATCATAAATGAGTACATGGTGCACACCATCAGCATTTTTGTCAAGTTATTTAATCATAGAAAACAGTACAACAGCGCAGCAAGGTAAAGATGAAGTGCTTAATCAGCTGTTGCAGTTACATTTGAAAATAATCAGTGGGAAAATGGACTGCTGAAGATAGCTACATAGAATTATATATATACATTTGGGCTTCCCTTAAGCATTGTGTATTTAAATATGGGTTTAATAGCCATTTATAATTTAACTTCATAAGTGTAAAGTTTAATTTTAGCTAGCAGTGTGGCCTGCTTTAACAGTTTTCTTTAAATGATGGTAGTTCGGCAGGATCTTCATCAGAAAGTCAAGCTGAAGAGTCTGAGGCTGTAAAGGTTACATAACAGACAAAGTTAATAAGCACAATACACAAAACTGTAATTTTTTTACAAAGCTTTCAGCTTTATGGTGCAGGCAGACCAAAATGTGTTTCCCACTCATGTCTAGGTGGAATGGGGTGATTCGCTTCTGGTTGTAAATTGACTGGTCATCTCCATTTTGAGCAGAGTTCAGTCTGACTGAACTGCACTGGCCTCTTGTTCAAGAAATGTTGTTGTACAACTCCACAGCACAAGAACATGAGCAGCAGAAAAGATGGGGTGCTGTTTGGCTTCAGGGAGTTTAAGGACAGTTTCACCAGGCGAATTTCAGTCAGACTGCAGCATCAGATGCTGGGCAGTTGGGCACATCTGAAAATTTTGGACCTACTTAAAACCACTTTATACTTGAAATTGCAAGAATTATAGTTATTTCCTGAACAGGCTGAGTAGACTAAGGGAAGATATAACTAATGGAAATGTAAACATAGCGATGCTGTAATAAATGATGGTACAGTTAGTTAAATTTAGGTCCCATTGTTCTCCTTTGCATGCAGTTTTACACAGTAATAAAAACTCATAGGATAACCTAGCGTGGAATTTTTATTGTATACTATTTTAGGGTAAGTGGTGAGCTGTAAAAATAAAAGCCTTGGCATGTTTGAGCTTCGGTGTGTGCTTTTACATAGACATTTCACACAGTGTGCTTCTGCCTTCAGCATGGTTGACAGACCTTTACTTTTACATTTATGTAGGACCCTTCAGTCCCAACAAACACCACTGATGAGGTTACAGAAATTCTTAAAAACTGGTGAGAATCTTGATTGTGTAAACATGACCAAAATGTAATCATTCAAAACAAGCAACAACATTTTAAGGGTCCATTTATAAGCACACTGCAAGCTTGGGGTACGTGGTTACACCCCGTTGTCGTGTGGACCCCAGGAAGAATATCAGTTATGTTGTATCAGCTAATGGGGATCCAAATAAACAAACAAACCCCAAACATCACTTAGAAGTGCGTGGCCATACCTGTGGTCGCTCGGTCTGAATGCGCCTCATACACCCAGAGCCAAAGATGACTGTGTTGTCAGGTATGAACTCACAAGTGTTGACCTGACAAAAGGCTCCAATGATACAGCCACTGGTGAGGATCACGTTCCTCCCGACCTCCGCTGGACAGTAAAACAGGATATGTGATACAGTGAGTGGCTTCATTCATAAATACGCTCCATCCATCTCTTCAGGTGTGGGTTTCACTTGCTCCGACCTTTATACGAACACAATGAAAGCCAAACAAATATGTAAAGGTCTCACCCTTAGATTCTATCACATTGTTGTCCCCAATTTTCAAGGCTTGTGATACTTTTAGTTGTCAGTTAAGGAACAATTAGGCATGGATTGTTAAGATGTATAAGAATGTTTAAATATAAAATCACTTGACTTATAGAATATGACAAAAGGATACCACAGCCAACTTCAAATACATTGTTGATCCCAATGGTCATTGTCTTTGGTTCCACCTCAGAATCCGGTTTGATATTTTCTGGGTAACTGTTGAGTAGCACGTGTAAGCTTGTAGTTAATATGATGCAGGTAGGTGTGATTACAAAAGCCCATATGCAAAGGTGGGTAAAACAGTGATGCACATGTTATACACTAAGGTACAAGTAATCTTACAATACCGATTGATAATCAGAGCTTGCTCCTCGATCAAATTGCCTTCACCGATAACGATGGGTCCTGCCTCTGCAATGATACGAGCTTTTGGGTGTACCACTGTCCTGGGGCCTGAACAAACACAGAAAATATAAAACACGCACACAGTAAGTAAATCTACTAATTTCGCAGTGTCTGGCCTGCTTATAGGTAAACATACAGGTTATCCCAACTCAGTAGTGCTTAACTTACTGGCCAGCGACCAAAGGAAAGCATCTTACCAATAGTGACATCTCCTCTGATTTCACTTTCAACACAAACGACGGCCCCAGCGGCTATTTTGACACTGCAAAAATAAAAACAGCGAGAAAAAAGTAACAATGTTAATCGCTAGCTAATGTTGCTAGCTATCCACTTCGCTAAACCGTCCAAATTAACTACATAGCACATTTCATAGTGGCTATATAGTCATCAGCTTTTGTGCTATTGACATTACACTAAGCGGTTATTTTACAGACTAATATTTATCTTACTTTTTCTGGGGATTTAGTTTATCCATTGTGAGAGATGAAGTCCAATGGGAGGTGCCGACTCGATCATCGATTTGTAATCCTTGCTATGACAACGTATGCGCATGCGCATGCGTCAGTACTAAAGACGCATTTGACGTAAAGATGATCTGGTCAGAATATTATTATAGGAGCAGTTCCGCTCTTTTAAACACTGATGCATACTTGTTAATTTAAATGGGTTGATTAAAGGAAATCGCGCGTCTGTCAGCTCTCCT